AGGTCTATAAAATGTGAACACTCTAAAATTTACATTCATTTTATAATAAATTTTACTGTCAGATAAAAATATTCTGATCACTAATGGGAAGATGTCATCTTTAATATTTAATAGCAGCTTTAATTCTTGTGCTTTTTATGAAATACAGCTACAATATCAATTCTACCTATACATATTCTGAGTAAATAATAGATCTGGGAAGTTGTAAAATTTTCTATGATGTATGTCAAATCTTATGAAATACGTCTAATAAAGCCTTATCTTTCAAGCGATATGAGAAGCAGTACCATTAACACCAAAGGACTATCTTTATATTTAGTTTTTCATGATAGCTCAGAGTTAAAACCATAACAATTGTTTTTCTTTTTCTTTTTTTTTTTGGTACCAAAGTTGAATTCAGGGGCACTCAACCACTGAGCCACATCAGGGTCTCACTGAGTTGCTTTGTGCCTCGCTGTTGCTGAGGCTGGCTTTGAACTTGTTATCCTCCTATTTCAGCCTCCCAAGCCACTGGGATTATAGGAGTGTGCCACCACAACCCGCACAATTGTTGTTTTTCTAGATTCATTGTTATAAATACAAAAAAAAAAAAAAAGAATTATTTGAAATTTGGCCCAATTGTGCTGTTAAGTTTAAAGCCAAATTTAAATGATTTTTCAGGGCTTAAAACAAACAAATATAAAAGCCAACTCTGTACATAGCCAGCAAAATGGAATATAATTACTCCATTCAATCAGAAGCTGTGATTAAGTGAGTTCAATTAAAACGAAAGGTAAGTGGGTTTCTGAAGTCTTGAATTATTGAACAAGTAATGCAAGGCCTAGAGTTCAAGGGATAGAAAAAAATTACTATTTTTTTTTTTTTCAGAGAGTCTATGATGCCCATTCAGCCCTCTGGCAAAAGTAGAATGTAGAAAGGTTTTTTCTCTTAAGTTAAATGAAATAACCCTGCTGTTAAAGATTTGCAATATGTACTTCACCCACCTACTTTTCACTGTAATGTATCTACATTATCACAAGCAGCATTATGTCACCAAGATCAACCAATTTCCTTCATGGAAATGCAAAACAACATGTTTTCTGTAAGATATTTCCATCAATGTCAGTGACATACATAGAGTCTCAACAGTCTGCCTTGTCACTTACAGAAATGAGAAGTAAAATGTTCTTTCACACTCAAGTTGAATTCTGTGCCAACTGTTTCACTGAGCTCATTGACTGTTCATAAACCCATCATTGGCACTATCCTAAAGCCAGGGCATGCTAACACTTTCACCAGAAACCAACTGGAAAAACAAAACCAAAAAAGAAAAAAAAAGCAATAAGAGATGAGATGCCACTTACCCTTACCACAAGATAGACTATTCTAGTTCTAAGAGGAGCTGGCATAAAAGACACACTATGCCTTTCCCTTGATGATCTGGGTCCCTGTAGTCAGGCATGTCACTGAACCATCAGACACCTGCATGGTCTAGAAGAAAGGCAGACTCTAGGGATCTACATTAAAGTCCTCTGCCACCAGCTCATATTTTGATTCTTGTCAGGGTATTCTCCCTGGGCCTTATTCTCCACATCTGTAAAATAATGAAATCAGCTGAGATACTCTCTAAGGCCTTGCTAGTCCTAACATTGTTTGAATTAAAAATGAGGTTGGACTATTATGGTTGTTTTTGTCTTTTTTATGATTTGTGTAGAGTCATATTGTGTATTTGACCCCTTAAAGAAACGAACATGGGTTTTCTTCTTCAATTTGTCCAACTTTGCAAAACAATTAATGAGGTTTTGTATTTGAGACCAAGTAAGCAGAGCCCACAGTGACAAATGTCCTCTGTAGGTCACATTTTTCCACCTCCTCTTCTTTACCCTTCCTTTTCACTGTTTGTCCCCAGTCATGGCTCTGATCACAGACTTATTACAAGTTGCTCAATGATGCCATCACATCCTTTTACAGACACGTATCAGCAAATGTTTCCCTTAAAACCCTTGAAAATTCACAAAGAAAAAGCGCATTAACAGCACTGCTGGAAAAGACTCGTCAAACTTTGCAGCTGGCAATTATTTCTCCACTGACTACACTGGATATGTGTCTTTGCCTCAGTGGACTATAGCAACGGTGATAAAACAGAATACTTAGGATCACATATCAAAATAGTTATTAAAAAATAAACTCCTCTCCACTAGAACTTTCACTCTTTCACAGACCTGCTTAGGTATTCTGCCTAACCTATAATATTTCAACTCCTCTAAACCATCAGAACAACAGTGTCATCAGGAAAGCATCTTGAGTCACTTCTGTAAGATCTGGTAATGTTTAAATGAACATTATAGGTACTTGGTGAACTCACAAGCTATAGAAATCAATAGATATCTTGCATAGAGAAGTCTAGCAATTGATTTTTCCAGGAGAGAACCAATTTGTAACTTTAGAAGAGGCATAGACACCAAGGAGTCTGGAAGCATGCTGAAGATTACAAAAAAAAAAAAAAGAAAGAAAGAAAGAAAAGAAAAGAAAAGAAAGAAAGAAAGAAAAAGAAAAAAGGCGACAAGGGTGTGGAAAATGCTGCACTGTACTAGATGAGGTGGTGCCTCAAAGAAATGGGGCCTTAGATTGATGGTGCTTTTCAGGAGTGGTTAAAAGGGGGGGGGAAGAAAAGATTGAGAAACGCTAGGCAGCTCTTGCTAGTGCTCTGGGGTTTAGAAAAGGATTCTTCAAAGTACATAGAAAGGGCATCATTATAGTGTTCCCAAGGGTGTTGCATTTAAATGTAGACTATTGCTTTCTTAAGGATAAGAACATCCAGTGCACTTATTCTTTTTGGGGGGTGTGGGAGGAGACCAGAGACTGAACTCAAGGTCTCACTGAGTTGCTTAATGCCTCGCTTTTGCTGAGGCTGGCTTTGAACTCGCAATCCTCCTGCCTCAGTCTGTCAAGCCAGGGGAATTACAGGCATGTGCCATCAAGCCAGGCAGTGAGTGTACTCATTCTTTCCAGCTGTTAAGAATTGTCTGACATTAATGTGCTCACTCAGTAAAGAACTCTAAACATGCATACCTTCTAGGTGTTGCAGGTGACAGTAAAATGTAAAAAGCTGTATCAGTGTCCTCTACAACATTACAATCACTTAGAAGGTGTGGAAAGGCTAGAAGCAAACCTCAAATTAAATGTATCTCCCCCAAATCCAGGGTCTGGTTTTGATTTTATGTAACTGGAGAATTTTGTCCTCAAAACAGCTATTACCTTCTCTCTCTCCTGCCAAGTATTCCTTTATCTCCTCATTATTTTTTACATTAAAAATGGTTTTTATTTAAAAAGTCACTTTAAGCTCATACACCTATAATCCCAGCAGAGCAGCAGACTGAGGCAGGAGGATCATGAGTTCAAAGCCAACCTCAGCAAAGGCAAGGTGTTAAGCAGCTCACAGAGTCCCTGTCTCTCAATAAAATACAAAATAGGGCTGGGGATGTGGCATAGTGGTTAAGTGTCCCTGAGTTCAATCCCTGGAACCAAAAAAAAAAAAAAAAAGTGACTTTAGTCAAGAGATTAAATAATGCAAAGGCTAAACATTCTTATAAAATTTTATCTATTTTAAATTCTAAATTCTTCTAACAATGATGGAGAATTTATAAATTAAAAAAATTTCAAATTCTTGGGGAGAGAAGAAAGAGAGATTAAAAAAAACGCAGTTTTAATAGTTAGAACCGCAGTACATAAATGTTAGTGTGAATTTTCAAAGGATGTTTTTGGTGAGTTTAAAATCCCCAAATCTGGGTTAGGGATATAGCTCAGTTGGTGGAGTGCTTGCCTCACCTGCACAAGGCCCTGGGTTCAATCCTTAGCACCAAAAACAAAACAAAACAAAAAAAACACTATCCTATTGTGAAAATTACATCTCTTAAATTATACCCATTTGTGTTGAATAATTTTAACCTTTACTTATGGAGTGCAACTTTAAAAGGGAGTTTATAATTTATGGGTTTCACTGACTTTGTTTAGTTTTGCTTTAAGTGTTAACTCTTCTAAAAAATAACTTTGAGATCCCCCTCCCTTAATGATTGAGGTTGAATGGACACAGAGCTATAGGAATGGGTTCACCTATAGAAAACCTTCATATGTGCATCTTTTGCCAGGAATGCAATGTGAGAATTAGTCAAATTATAAATTAGACCATGCCATATGAACTTAAGTAATTTGGCTCATTAGCTACTTAGGAAAAGTATGTATGTAAAGAAAGCTGCCCATATTCCAGTGCATGAACTTGGCCTTGAATCTGTTTTACTTGTATAGAGAGACAACTATAGAAGTTTATAGCTTTCAAGGCCTGGATTTCACAGCAGCGTTCTTTTTAAAACAAAAGTCATTTTCTCACCTTAGTGTAGTGGAACGAGTGCCTAGCATACAGGAGGACGTGGGTCTGATCTCCACACTGCAAAAAAGAAAATCATTTTTCTTGCCTAGGAAATGGATGTGTTGTGTTCCCACTGCAGATATTTCACAACTCACTGACCAATATCAAATGCTCTAAATGGCTCAATTGATTTGATTTCCAAAAATGGCTTTCTCAGAAAACTGAAGATGCATGCTAAATTATTTTCAGTTGCTATCTGCTTACCTCTCATTGGCCTTAATTCTGCCTAATGTATAATCATTCCATAGAGATGAACAGAAGTTTATTCTGGTTTTCAGATGTTAGCTACAAGTCTCATAGGCTTCTCAAAACACTTTTCATTCATTAATTAGCACTTATTTTTTTTCTTTTGGTGGTGCTGAGGATTGAACCCAGGGCCTTGTGCATGCAAGGCAGTCACTCTACCAACTGAGTTATATCCCCAGCCCTCAGAAGCATATTTTGCAGTTTAATTAATCAGAGTGATATTTGCAAATATGTTTGGTCTGATGAAGTTGGGAGAAGATATATGCCAGTGGATAAATCTAAAGTCACCAAGAGTTGAACATTCAGTACAATTTATAGCACAACATGAAAATACAACTTTAGATACTCACGGGTAAAATGACTAGACGTGGATGGATTGACACTATCAACACGCTCAGCACTGTCACAGCTAAAAACATCATCATCTGATTCCTGTACAGAGGAGCAGGGAGAGGAGCCGTCAACTTCTTCAAACTTCCCCTTTAAAATTCCACTCATAGCTGCAGTGCTGTCACATGTACCTGTAAGAGGAACAGGAGCAACAGAGCATTCAAGTATTTGACTGCTGATTGCATAGTCAAGGTCTTAAAGCCTTTTTTAGGGACTGTAATTTTCTTCTTCTTCTTCTTCTTCTTTTTTTTTTTAACCACATGAACCACACTGTTATATCCTTGCAGAAAACTATTCTTCCCATAATGTTGGGAAGCACCAAAAATAATTCTACCCTGATGCATTCTTCTTTTCATTGTCATTCTAGTAGCATGACTTAGAAGAAAAAAGGAAAAATTAAGCATGTGGAATAAGAGTGCTACATAAGGAAATATGCCTCGGTGCTTTGAAATGTCAAAACAGGAGTCAAATACATTTATTTGATTTGCTCTAGTAAATCATGTACAGTCATTGACAGAGCCAGAGTTCAGAATGAAATAGATCACTCACTTGCATGCTGTCATATCCAGAGCATACTGATTAGGGTATATCTCTCCTGCTGCGGATTTCTTTTTTCTTGGGTACAAAGGCATCTACTTTCCTGGGGCTCTTTGTCCATCAAAAATCAAATTGGTTGCTAGGGATGGCTATACCTGCAGAATTTAGATGCCTTATCATGTTTCCAGTCAATTCAGCAGAGCTATGGGGAATACTCAAGTCCAATGCCAAAGAGGTTGGCTGAATAGATTTTATACATGGTAAATCACAGTCCCTAAATCTTTTGCTGGATAAAACATTAATTTAAGCCTCTTCACTGTCTATATCAACATGGTCAGTGAAAGCCGATCAGATGTAGCCCGATGTATTATTGAAAACTTCTTATTGTCACATTAGATGAATCATTAAACCTCTTGAAAAAAAAATTCTTCATAGTTATAAAGAAACAGTTAGAGTGATCAGAGGGTTGCAAACATAAATTCCTACAGAGGCAAGAAACCTCAACAAGTAAATTGATCTAATGGAATAAAATCTTGAGTCCTCTTAGTCTTCTCTTTTATGTACTATTATTTGGAAAAAAAAAAAAACAAAAAACAAGAACTCTGACGGTTTAGATATGAGGTGTCCCACAAAAGCTCACATGTAAGACAATGTAAGAAGGTTTAAAGGTGAAATGATTGGCTAATGAAAGCTTTTACCTAATCATTGAATCAGTCCTCTGATAGTGATTAACTGGGTAATAACTGCAGGCAGGTAGGATGCGCTGGAGTAGGTGGGTCATTGAATGCATGCCTTTGGGATATATATTTTGTCCTTGATGAGAGAAGAATTCTCTCTCTGCTTCCAGATGGCCATGTCCTGAGCTGCTTTTCTCTGCCACACACTGCTGCCATGATGTTCTGTCTCATCTCAGACCCGGAGGAACAGAATCAGCCAACTATGGACAGATGGCTCTGAATCTGTGAACCCCAAATAAACTTTTTTCTCCTTAAAACTGTTCTTTTCAGGTCTTTTGGTCACAGCGTAAAAAATACTGACTAAAAGAGGCTCCAAGAAATACTTCTTTACCCAAAGGAAAATAACAGCAGAGCACAATAGTAAATGGCCTCATAATCAAGGAGACCATAGGTGGTACACAGTGTGAACTGTGCAGAACTGGGGAATGCAGGCACAGGCCCTGGGAAAGGCCTCTACAGAGATCGGGGTCATTTTGGCTGCATGTTTTCCTAGTTAAATCCACTTTAAACTTGGCCAGTGCCCCGTAGTTTCAGAAGCAGTCCTTTATACCCCTAGATTTCATATTCTACATTCATCTTTCCCTCATTATTTTGGTTTACAAAGTTATAGGAGCAATTTTTAGATTACACTGTAGTGTAATTTCCAACATGGACTGGTTCTAATAGATGGACAAAAAAAAAAAAAAAAAAGACTTACCTCTGTGACTTGGAGAGGTAACAGACTAGGGAATCAACATTCTCTTGCCCATTCATTCAACACACTTTGACTATAGATGCATTGATTGAGAGAACCAATTTGCCTTCCAAAAAAAAATACCTGCACATTATATGCTGCCATCAAACCTGAGCATGGCAGTTCTATCCATGCCTTCTGAGCAGTTAAGCAAGCTTCAAATCTAACAGGAGTGAATTTTTTTTTTTTTTTAAAGGCAGTACCTTTAGGACTGACCACTGGCCACCCACCTTGTGTCTCTCATAGACCTATGGTCTCCCTTAATTTTAGGAACTACATTCTTTGGACTCTTCTACTCCAGATTCTTCTGCTAACTATCCTGCTGTTTTTGTATTTCCTTTGTATTTTGTATTTTCCTTTGTATTTTGTATTTTTCTTCACACTCCCAGCTGGCACGTGCATTTGGCTCTCAACAGACCTGCCTTTACCTTACAGCATCCTGAACAACAACACTTTGTTTTGCTTTGTTTCATTTTTTTCCCCCAGAGAATTTGAGTGTCCTTCTTGGTCATTTATGTCATTTTATAGGAAAAAGAACTTTGACCTTTGTTTATAGGCCTTTCATTATTCAGTAAACATCATGTTGCAGGGACTATTTTACTTGTTAGGGAAAGAAAAAGAAGTAATGTATTCAAAAATTCCTTATTCTAATGATGCTGACTTACTGAAGAGTTATTGGAATAGGGGTAGATAAACAGTAAACAGGTAAATAAATTAAATATATAATGCCCTATGGAGATGAGTGCTACAGAGAAAAATAAGCAGTTAGATGACATAATGACTATTGTATGGCCATGAAGAAGGAACATTCAATTTTTATTTCATTAGTGAGCTAATGTTACAGTGAGGAGGTAGAGTCCCAGAGGAGGAACGGAAACCAGCAATTTGGACTTTTGAGGGAAGAATGGATCAGGACAAAGAAATGGAAAGTGCTAAGACCCTGAGAGCAATGCAGTGGGTGAAAAGAGAAGGCTAGTGTCTGGGGCGAGATTGTGCAGGGCCCTTAAGGACTTGGGCTCTTTCTATAATTGAGATAGAAGCCACTACAGAGTTGAAGTGATGTAGTGATAAGACTTGGCTTATATATTAGAGGGACTTCTCTTTATCTTGTTATTTCATGAGGGTTTATAATAAAGTGAAGGTGGATTTAATGGGGGGAGGAAAAGTTCTAGAAGTAAGGAAAATACCTAGGGAAGGCTTAGTAGCAAAGAGGAACAGCTAATGTCAGTAGAGCTAACCAGTCAGAGGCCTATAGAAGTCAACAGATTCCTTGATGAGGCAGAGGACTTTGAGAAAGAAACTAGACGGGGTGATTTTGAACACCTAATTTTACTTAGAACTGCTGGTCTCTATATTTGCCAATTAATTGATGGTGGAGATACACTAGATTTCAAGTAAGACCAATTCCAATATTTTCTACCAATCTGTTTCGGCAAATAAAGGTGACAATGAAAAAGTCAGCTTTCCCTTCATCACTCCAAAGAAATACTTCTTTAAATTTGATAGAGAAAAAGCCATGGATGACAATAATCATCAAGAATTTACTTGTTGATGGGAAAATAGAGGCACAAAGTTAGTAACAAATTTACTCACATCCTTCCTAAAGTTACTTACTCAACATTTTTAAAAAATTAAATATACAACCACTACTTGCTACTGCAAGTATTTAAAAAATCAGACTTTGAGTTGACCTGGTTTGAAAACCAAGTGGTATCTATCTTAAAAACTGTCTTGGGGATCAAATGTGACCTTTGTTTGGTTAGATGGACAATCTTGTCTTCAATTGACTTGTGGAGGTTTTAAAGGTATTGTATAAATGCTTGGAAAGACAGAAAGCAGCTGAGGTAGATTTTTTAAAATGTTGTACTACATGATTACCAGCTCTAGGAAACTATTTGGAATTGTTGCACAACAAAAATGTTCAATTGATTTCTTTACCTAATATGAAATCAATGTAAATAATTTGATTTGTTAGATTTGCTCACCATTTACACACATAGACCCTGGAGGCTCTGAAGATCTTCCACAGCCATTGAACAAAAATTGACCTATGGTTAAGTATCTGAGTAAACACAAAAATAGGAAGGAAAAAAAGCCTAGGAGATAGAGGAAAATTTTCACTCTACTTTGTTTTAACCAATCTGATTTCATTGTAATACTCTCTGGACTTATTACCAAAGTTGCCATGTTATAATCACTTCCATGGCAACAGAGCAAGATAATACAGGAGAAATTTAAGAGTGAGAGAGATTAAGATGTTACTCCAGTTCAGATGTTTGTAGTTACAAGTAGGAAGGAAGATGGCTAAGGGAGAAGATGGTAATGTTCTGTATTGAAGTTGTCTTATTTCACATAGTCAAGTGAAAGCAATCTTAAATAATATCAAAAGCCATCCTATAAAACAGAAGGCTGTGTTTTTGCTAGTATATAGCTGAAAGAAACTGTTATCAAACAAAGAGAAATACAGATGACTTGATTTATGTTTTCTAGCATCAATAATTAAAACTATTGGATGTATATTTGTTAGGAGTCAGATGATTCAGAATCCTGCCTCTGGAAACCCTAACAAAGGCCCTTATCTCCAAAAAGTCAGTGCCTTATTAGTTTTTTGTTTTTTTTTTCAAAAAGTTGTACCTAATGGGAATACTGTATTATTACTGATCCTATATACAATAATTCTGTTTGAGAAACATATAAAATATAATCCTGAATAGTACATTTTATATGAAAATAGTTATATATATTCATAAAATATACTGCTCTGATGAAACTGACCAAATTATGTTATGTGCATGTACAAATGTCATAATAAATCCCACTATAATACATAATCATAGTGCACCAATAAGAAACTTAATTTTAAAAATTGACTGTTATGATCTGAATGCTTGTATTCCTCTAAAATTCTTATGCTAAAATCCTAAGCCCCAAGGTGACAGTGTTAGGAGGTGGGTATTCAGGAGATAATAAAGTCATGAGCTCAGATTAATGCCTTTAGGCTTCTAAGAGTCACCAGAAGAGATCTGTCACTGTTCTGCTGTGAGGTTACAATGAAATGAGGAGCCCTAGCCAGACACTGACTGAATCACTGGTGTCTTGATCTTGCGCTTCCATCCTCCAAAAC